GATGGCAGAATTCCAAATGCTACATCGTCCAGCGGGAGGGCATCTGCTTCAGGAGAAATAAGTGATGTTGATCCACTTATTTCACCTCTAGAATCATTAGCTACGACAGATTCTGAGCAATCTTCCCGATATCGTGAGGCCTTGTCGCAGAACTCTGGGAATGCACCACTTGAAGAGTCTTCATTTCCTCCCCTTCCCATGGCTCCTGGTAGCAGTCAGCTGAAGTCGCAACAAGATGCTTCAATGAAGAAAAGTATGGCAGCCCATCTACGGGTTAAGAACTTAACAAAACCAAGCTTTCCAAGGTCATCACCAGCTTGGCCAATGGCACGGAGTAAACCTGTATCAGCAGCAGTTTCTCCACAGCTTACTCCAAATACTGCACCTGGGTTAGCCTCTAGTTCTGGCCTTAATAAGCTGGCTGCAGATGATGGTCGTGCATTGTCCAGCTCTTCTAATCCTGTTCAGGCACGACCTTCATCCAGTCATGATTCATCATATTCTCATTCTTATTCGCAATCACCAGCTCAGCAAGTTTGGCCTACATTAAATAATTCCTCTGGATCATCATCTTCCATAGGCCAAAGTAAGCCAGCCACAGAAAATGGACCTTCATTATCTACCTATTCAAGCTCTCTTATGGCTCGACCTCCAATGGCTAGTGACACATATTCATCAAAGAATAGGGGCAGCTCCGGTAAAATTAGTTATTCAGCGTCAGCACCAAACCTTGTTCATAGTGGAGCTTTTGACTCTCTAGCTACTGATTTTCCTCCAGTTTCGGCCACGCAGGTAGGGAAGTTGCCCACTGGTAGCCAAGTCATCACCAATGTAGAAGATATTCATAGTGCAAACAAATCTTTAGTGGAAAGGATACGCGTTGCTTTGGACTTCAATCAGGACAAATTCTCTGCTTTCAAAGACTTATCTGCAGAATATCGTCAAGGCTTAATAGATGCAGAGACATATCTTGTATATGTGGAGCAGTTTGGCTTGTCACATCTTCTTGTTGAGTTGGCTCAACTCTGTCCAGATACTCGCAAGCAGAAAGAGTTGATTGAGACATACAATACTAATATGGCAAGTGATTCCACAAAAGAGAACAGAAGAAGTGCCTTCCATCCCAAAGACGTTAATCGTTCAAAGAAAGGAAAAGATAAGGCTGTCGATGCTGGAAATAATACTGCAAAGGATAATTTAGCTGACAGCATCATCAGTACAGTAAGGGAACTTCAGTCAAGCTACAAGCCTTCAGAAGAAGTTGAAGTGTTATCAAAGGATGGTTATCGAGCTGCCAAGGGAAAATCAAAAATAGCAGTTGATGAATCTCAAGGACAACTATCTTCAACTGGTGAATCTGCTATTCTCAAGGGCCAAACTGACTTGTCTGGATCTATTCAAAAAAAAGTGGAAAAAGATGGAAGAAGTAAACAACGGAAGAAAACATCAAAGTTCCACAGGATCCGCTTAGGCGATGGCTCTGCAGCAGCAATTTTGGACCTTAAAAATCCAAATTCTGATCAAGATCCAGATCCAGATTTGTCTGAGGCTGCTTCAGGAGGGCAAAATCATTTTACTGAAGGTGTGCCTGGTCGGGGTGTTTGGCGTGACGGTGGTGGACAGAAGCTTTTTACAATGACTTCAAGACAGCCGAAGAAATAATGAAAAGGAGGTAGCTGCTGATGATTCAGTTGAAATTTAGTTGTGGAGAACTGAATCTATGATTAATTTCCTTTTGATATGATATGTGCTGGGATTCTATACAGATATCTAGGGCATTTTATGCAGCATTTCAATGATACATGGTAACAGTTTTTTTTGGGGAGCGAGTGAGTTCTTCAATCAGATTTTGCATGTTTGGGTTATTATAGGTACATTTTCTTGCCCCTTTTTAAGTTCCAAGAGAGTGTATCATGTTCTCAGTTGCTTGCAATTTTGCCTCAAACCTTGTAGTGGGGTGCAGCTGAAGTGTATTTGGCAAGTAACAAACATGGTGATTTTCTGAATTGTATAGGCAAATTGGAACCTCATTTTAAAGATTTTCTTTTTGTGAAATGAATTTGGGTAGCTTACTTGTTGCGCGCGCAATCTCAGCATTCAATGCGTATTCCTTGGTATATGGTTCTGGCTTAGATTCAGTTGTAGGATCTGCTATGTCGTGTGAAAGTTGTATCTCTGGAAAAACGATTGTGACACTGCAAACAGACATGCAAAGATGTTTTTGTGTGTGCACGTGCGCACGTGCTTGAGTGACGTTAGTTTGCTTGGGTAACAAACAAACTTAGCGTTACGAGCAACAGCACCCAAGTTATCGATCCCCGAGTTTGCAGTTATCAATCCCCGAGTCTGCAAACTGGTAATTATGCCTGACAAGAGCAGGTTGGGTGGATTTTGGACGGATTAATGTTGAATTTTCATTTAAATAAATAAGTTATACCTAACCCGTCCAACTTTAGATTGGGTTAATCTTGGGTTGGATCATATTGGATTTTTTCAAACCTATGATTCAAATATGATCCAATATATTAAACAATAGATTTTGATACATAAACTCTCTCAAATATATTTTTATATACAAAAAAAAAAATTCACACACTAAAACACTTACAGATGCAAGCACACACTCACTTTTTGAGTTCTTTTGAAATACATTATTTTTACACATACAAACACACTAAAATACACACTAATATGCTCTCACAAATACACACACATACTAACTGTTTAAACTACTTGGACCCAATCACATTTTAAAGAAAGTTATAAACTGAAATTTTGAGCCATCAATGAATCTTGTAAATAAACTATAGTCTCTCATATTTGTAATGTAATTTGTTCAACGAAATTACTTATTTAGCTCTAAATTATTATTTTATAGTATGTGTATAAAAATATAAAAATAAAAAAATATATATGTGTGGGACAGGTCGGGTAACGCGGATTTTTAATTATATGATCCTAGTTGAGGAATTTTAATTACTAACCACAAAAATCAATGTTTGGCTAATGAAATCCTGCTAATTAATATAATCAAAGCTCCTATTCATCCATGCCAGGACTCGAACAACCTCAGCAATCGAAACAGAGCCTTGTATTTTAAGTGGACTCATCTACCTATATAGTAAAAGCGCGAATGGCTTTGTTGGAGGTTGTGGTTGTTGTGCTGACGCGGCAGTATTTTACTGGCTGAAATTTGGTCGTCATTCACGTGCACCTCGCGTGGTTTCGCCGGGAGGAGGAGTGGGAATTCTTGCTGTTGTCTGAGAAGAAGCAAGTTCGGACCTTCGGTTTTTAAGAAGAAGCTGTTTCTCTGTAGCCTGAGTACCATTTGTCTTCTGGTCAACAGCTTGCTAGCTGAGTGAGCTTATGTATGACGTTGGTGATGGTTTGATTGATGACAAGTGTTGGGTGCTGGGCTCAATGTGTGGTGTGAATTGACGATATTGCCCTTCTTTTCAAATCAGATTATCCGTTGTATCTTGCTGTGGTTCTTCTTTCCCTCTGCGATTTGGTGAGAAGAGTTTCAGCTCTGCTCTAGAGAGCTGCCAAAAAACGCCTTTTCCCTGCCCTTTCCTTTGATTGACGCGACTGAAAGCTCTTTGTTTCTCCGATGTATCCAGAGTTTGCTGCGTTTCTGGTGCCGCCTTTTCCAGGTACTGCTATCATGGTCCATGATAGCTGTGCCTCATTATTTCCTCTTGTTGTTTACTCCCTCTCCTGCTGCTTGCTTCTTGGTTCTGAGCTATATCCTCATTTCTTTTGCCTGCCTTTTCTTTTCTTAGTGTAAGATTTGGTATCTTACTGCCTTCTTGCGTAAGGTTTGATTCCGCTATTCTTTTTAATTTTAACCTCCTTGCAACCGTCTTGCTTGCAATGTCGTGCTTATTTGGTTCTTTCCCTCCATGAATTTTATGCCCTCTTCAGCTTTTTTACAGTTTCGTTGCCTGCTTGCTTTGCTCTACGTCTCTTTTTTACTACTTCCTCTGTTTCTCGAAGGGCCTATTTCACTTTTATTTTCTGCCGGACTCTTTTAGGCTGTGTTTTCAGCCTCCTCCTGTCACCAACGCCTCATTTCTTCTTCTTCATTTATTTATTGCTCATGGGGTCTATTTAAATTTGGTGGGATTTAGATTTGATTTTTGAACACAGCATTTTTTTACTGTTTTTTCATTTTCCTCCTGTCAACAATCCTTGCATCACTGTATTCTTTTGCCTTGTGCCTTTTGTCCTGCTTTTCCTTCTTATGTTCAGGTCATCTTTCCCCGTCTCCTGTTTAGTTTTTTTTCCCCCTTTCCCCGTTAATTTCCTTATACTCTTTCCCACTTTGTTCTCTGGTCCTTGTTCTCCCGCATTTATTTACTCTTTGCTAATGCATTTTCTTAACCTTTTCCCCTCTCGCTGTTTTATTGGGTACAGGATTTGGTACTGTCCTCTTCTCTGTTGCTCTACGGTTGGCTGATAAAGCCTTGTTATATATCGCTAAGGTTAAGGTGACATTGCTTATTCTCCCTTGTATATGTACTTTTGCCTTGCTCTTGGCCAATAACTGTTTCATGCATGATTTTGTTGCCTCCCTTTTAACTGTTATCAGCTTCACTCGGACTTTTAGCTACTTTTTACTTGCCTGCTCTGTTCCATGGTGCCGTATAAGAGCTATGCTTTAGCTTTCCTTCACTATGCTTCTTTTTTTTGTATATTTATCCAGTTCCATGTGTGCTATATAAGACCTGTAATTTAACTTTTTTTAACTATGCTTTCCTTGGTATGCTTGCTGACCTTCATGTTGTTGTGTGGGAGCTGCGATTTAGCTTTTCTTTCCTATGTTTTTAATTATTATTTGAAGAGAGGTATTTGATGCATGCCTTTGTTGTGCCGTTTGCTTGTGTTACAATTTTGCTTGAACTTTGGCCTCCTTTGTACTTATTTAGTTAGGCCTATGGTGGTGTATTAGAGGTATACATTAGCCTTTCTTTTCGCCTGCTAAAGTGTGTAGCGCTCAGATGGATAGGAATGCTATGCGCCGCAAAAAATATGCAGAAATGCCGCCTCTGAAGAAAGCAGAACTTCTGCACTCTCGGAGGCAAGCTCGAGCTGCAAAGAAAGCTGAAAAAACTTTAACCCCGCGTGTTCGCAAGGTCCCGTTAGGATATGTTGAAACAGGTGTTTCGTTCCCAAATACTGATCATATGCCCTGTCATAGTGGCGGTCCTGCGCCTGTGCATTCTCAGGTGTTAGGAAGCACAGATCCTATGCTTCCACCTGATACTGCCTTTGCGATTAGTCAGGGATTAGAATTCATGTCACGCCGTCCACCTGGTTCCTTTAGTGGTGATACTTCCTCTTCACAATCTGTCAACAATGCACATCCTGAAGTTATACTTGCCTCATTTCCTTTGCACTCATCTATTATAAACTCTGAACAATCAGCCCAGAAAAAAAAGTCTTGTAGAACTAATTCTTTGTCTGCTGGAACTTCGGATTCCACTTTAGAACCTCCTTCCACAGGTACTGCCTTGCCTAAGCATGGTCACTCTGTTTGCAAAATTCCTGAGCTACTTTGGCCACGCTATAAGCAATGAATAATCAGCTTTATAGCCTGCCTTCTGAAAACCTTCTTCTTCTGTTGCGCATCTCCCTTTGAGGGACTTTTGGCTTCTTCAACTATCTTATTTACTTCTGCAATTCGCAGACATCTTTCCTCCTTGCAGAAGGGAGGCTTCCAGGTGTGGCCCAACACCTGGTTGCTTGAAAAGAAAAAAAAGAAAGGTTGTTCCTCCTGCTGATCCGTCTATAAGTCGGTCTCGTCCAAAGAAACGCACCTCCCCTGAATCTGTGAACAAGCAGACCTCAGGTTGGAATTTACTCCTAATTTGGCTTAACCATTGCTTGCCTTATATTTTGCCTCATCTATCTGTCCAGTCACATCTGATAGAGTCGCTTATGTATGAAATAAAACTGCAGCAGTAAAGCGATCGTCTGCCCGTTCAACCCTATCTCGTCTTTCCAATATTCCTGATGCACCTCTCATTCTGCCTGATGCTCCTAATTGTGAGCATTGTGGAGCGAAAAGGTTCCATTTGGAACCTCCTTCCTTTTGCTGCTCGGGGGGAGAAATCTCTATCGTTGCTCCTCCAATGCCTTACGATTTGAAGCGTTTGTTCATTGGCAATGATGAAGAGAGTAATCAGTTCAGAAACAATGTTCGCACTTACAACAACAACCTTGGCTTTACATCTTTTGCAGCGAAATATGATTCCGAATTAACAAAGAATGCAAAAGGTGTCTATACCTTCCGTGTTCAGGGTCAAGTTTACCACTTTCTTGATGGCCTTATTCAGTTGGGCGATAGGCCATCCGGGATTCAGCTATATTTTTTTGACACTGATGAGGAATTAACAAAGAGGCTTGGTAATTCTGATAAGCTGCGCGAAAGCACTTTGAAATTGCTTATGCGCGTTCTTTCTAACAATCCTTATGCTCGTTTCTTTAAGGGCCTTAGGGATGTTCCGAACCTTGACAATCTGAACATCGTCCTTAATTGTTATCCTTCGCTTGACCAGCGAGTCTATAATCTTCCCTCCACCTCACAAGTTGCAGCTATATGGACTGAGAGTGAAGATCAATCATCCGATAGACGCGCTCATATTCAAGTTTATTCTCGCTCATCTGGTAGCCATAGGATTCAGCATTACTATGGCTGTTATGACGCTTTACAGTACCCTCTCCTTTTCCCTCGTGGTGAGTGTGGCTGGCACCATGGAATTAAAAGGCTTTGCAAGAGGAAGAGGGGAGGGGATGCTTGTGAGGATGAGATTAACATTGATCCAGCTTCAGTTAACTCCTCATCGGAGTTAATTAATTTAGAACAGAGAGGCGAGTACATTTCTCTCTTGGTATAAGCTACTCAATCTACCCATTGCATTACATAATCTGATCATATACAACGTATTTTCCTTCTTTATAGCTGCTGATCGAGGAAAAGCAGAGGAAGATACTGTATCTGCTAGAGAGTACTACTGTTATAGGTTCCAAATAAGGGACAATGATGACTCAATGTTGTTACACGCTCTTAGGTTGCTGCAGCAATTTTCGGTTGATGCTTACGTCAAAATTGAAACATGTAGGCTAGACTTTCATAGGCATCAGCAAACCAGGATACGTTCTGAAATTCTACAAGGAGTTCTTGACAGTATTTCTGTTGGCCAAACTGCTGCTTCTAAAGTTGGTCGTAAGGTCTTTCTTCCAGCTTCTTTTATAGGTGGTCCGAGAGATATGAGGCGTCGTTACCTTGATGCGATGGCACTGGTACAAAAATATGGAAAATCAGATATTTTTCTTACAATGACGTGTAATCCAGCGTGGAAGGAAATACAGGAGAATTTGAAATACCATGAAAAGCCTCAGGATCGGCCAGACCTTCTCGCTAGAGTTTTTAGGGCCAAGTTTGAAATGCTAAAAGCAGAAATTCTCAATAAGAAAATCTTTGGCGAGGTTGCAGCGTGTGTCTACGTGATTGAGTTTCAGAAGCGAGGCTTTCCTCATGCCCATTTATTACTGATCTTAAAACCTGGTCATAAACTACTTAATCCAGAGTCGTATGACAAAGTAGTTTGTGCTGAGTTGCCCAACAAAGACCGGTATCCTCACTTATATTCTCTTGTTGTGAAGCATATGATCCATGGTCCTTGTGGAGCCATGGATCCGTCTTGTCCTTGTATGAGAGATGGAACGTGCAAAAATCGGTATCCAAAGAACTTTTGTGCTCAAACGACTCATGGTGAAGATACCTATCCGTATTATAGGAGAAGAGATGATGGCAAGAGAATCAGAGTTCGTAGATTTACTCTTGATAATAGGTGGGTTGTGCCTTACAACCCTTACCTGCTTGCTTTATTTGATTGCCACATCAACGTGGAAATCTGTTCTACTCTTAAACTTGTAAAGTACTTGTATAAGTATGTTTTCAAAGGACACGATCAGGTGAGCTTTAGGATTATATCGGGTGAACCAGCAGATGATATAGATGAAATAAAAGACTTTCAAAAAGGTCGATGGGTTTCACCTCCGGAAGCTTTTTGGCGCATTTATGAATTTAGACTCAATGAAATGACCCCTGCAGTTTACACCCTCCAGGTTCACCTTCCGGACCAGCAATTCATTTCGTTTGACAAGAGCTCTGACTTGGTGCAATTACTGAGTAAAATTGACTTTTCTAAGACGATGTTAACTCAGTTTTTCCACATGAATAGAACAAATCCTACAGCACAAAATTTGAAATGCTTGTACAGAGATTTTCCTGAACATTTTGTTTGGTCTGCTAAATATAAAGAGTGGACTGAAAGAAAGCGTCGAAAGGTGATTGGTCGGATGGTGACTATTAGTCCAAGGGAAGGAGAGAGGTATTATTTGAGGTTGCTTTTGACGCACATTGCTGGGCCGACCTCTTTTGAAGACCTTTTGACTGTTAATGACCAGAGATTAGCTTCGTTTAGAGAAGCTGCTTTGGTCCTCGGCCTTTTGCAGTCCGATGCGTATATAGACGAGACGCTACAGGAAGCAGTGGCATTCCAGATGCCGTGCTCATTGAGGTTATTGTTTGCCACTCTCCTTGTGTATTGTTCTCCAACAGATCCTAGATCACTTTGGGAAAAATTTGAACCTGAACTTTCTGCTGACTATCATTACCAGCAGCCATTCGATGCCCTTTCTTCTCCTGAAATTAGAAGAAAAGTTTTGCAAGATATTAACACCTTACTAGAACAAATGGGCAAAAGCATTGCTGATTTTCACTTTGTCTCTGATGAGCTTTCACCTGGGTACACTGAGAGGTTGACAAAAGAGATTGAAACTGAAAGGAACTTAGTGGTAACACCCGATGACCTGTTGTTGCCTCAGATGTTGAATTCTGACCAAAAACATGCCTATGATCTAATCATAAAAGCATGTTCTTCCTTAGAAGGCCAAGCATTTTTCGTTGATGGCCCCGGCGGCACAGGCAAAACGTTTTTGTATCGGGCACTTCTCGCAACTTTGCGATCACAGAACCATGTTGCACTTGCAGTAGCAACGTCTGGAATTGCAGCATCGATCTTTCCTGGCGGAAGGACGGCTCACTCGAGGTTCAAGATACCACTTGATTTCTCAAAGACTAAGAATTGTCAGCTTAGTAAACAAAGCTCTGCTGCAAAGCTCATTTGTGAATCTAAGCTTATTTTGTGGGATGAGGCTTCGATGGCTAAGCGGGACACAATTGAAGCATTTGACGAGCTGCTGAAAGATTTAATGGACTCTGATTTGCCATTTGGAGGAAAGGTAATAGTTTTTGGAGGAGATTTTCGGCAGACTCTACCCGTCATTGAGCAAGCAACTAAAGAAGTCCTCATAGGGTCGACCTTCCCTGTTTCTCCTCTGTGGCCTAAACTACGTAAAGTCATACTCACAGAAAATATGCGAGCTATGCTTGATCCAGGATTTTCGCAGTTTCTTTTAAGAGTAGGAGAGGGAAGGGAACCTGTTGATGATAAGGGTGAAATAACTTTACCATCAGATATAGTTATTCCTTATTACGATAAGGAGGAGTCTTTAAACAGGTTAGCTTGCTACATATAACCAAGCTTAGTGTCTTTTTAATAGTTACTCCTCCTATTTCCATTATCAATGAACCTTCTTTTACACAGGTTAATAGATAGCGTCTTTCCAGATTTGAACCTCTATTCGCAGGATCCTTATAGCCTGATAAATAGGTGCATCCTTGCTCCTAAAAATAGCTCAGTTGATGAGCTCAATGAAATAATGATTAGGAAGTTTCCTGGAACCCTTCAAACTTATACTAGCTCGGACAAAACTGTTGATCAACGGCACCAAGGCGATTATGAGGACTTCCTCAATTCTCAGAATCCTAGAGGTCTCCCCCCTCATAAGCTGCTGTTGAAGGAAAACTGTCCGCTAATGCTTCTAAGAAATTTAAATCCAGCTGAAGGTCTATGCAATGGCACAAGGTTAATATGTCGAGAACTTGGGCAGCACACAATTTCTGCTGAGATTGTTTTTGGCCATCACCGAGGCAAAAGAGTTTTTATTCCAAGGATACCTCTTCAAACGCCTGACAATGACAAAAATGGGATTGCATTCATAAGAACGCAATTTCCTGTCCGCCTTTGCTTTGCTTTGACTATCAATAAATCGCAGGGTCAAACTCTTGACTACGTCGGCATCTATCTACGAGAACCAGTTTTTTCTCACGGCCAGTTGTATGTTGCTCTATCCAGAGCTAAGACCGCTGCCAAAGTTAAAATTCTTCTGGTTCCTGGAACATTTGATGACACAAAAGTTGATTGCAAAACTCGTAATGTTGTCTTTGACGAAATTTTTAGATTAGCTCAGGCCTAGACCATTTTCTGCTTGAATTATACTAAAGTAAGATGCTTATGCAGATTTGTTTTTGTTAGATTGCTGTGTTCTTTGAACTTTTAGTTCCTGGTCATTTATCCATCGACTTATGTGTTTATAGGATAGCTGACATACTGCCAATGCGAGATATTATGCCTCACATGAAAAATTGGAGCTGTATCATCACTGTTCAGGAAAAGCAACAGATCACAGGCTCAATGGGAACACCAACAAAAAAGCAGAAATTTATTTTCTACGATTCAGAGGTTAAGCAAAGCCACTCTTCAGTCTTAGATCTAATTATTTAAACACACTATTCTTTTGCTTTCCTAATCCTGTATTAATTTCATCTCTTTAAGTAGGGATCAAGGGTTGAAGGAATCATCTTCAATGATGACATTCATAGAATGAGCCAGATCTTGCAAGTTTATAAAAAATACAAAATTTCCAATGCTGAGGTCAGACCTATACCGTCAAAATTCCAGACATCTGAACTTACCGTTCAATGGGTTATTAGTAGCAGGACTGTTATTGACGAAATTGCTGATGATGATGAAATTATGGCTGTTAAATTCTGCTATTCAAAGTTTACTGACTTAGTTCAATACATGGATGACAAAACTAGATCAGTGGGTGAGTCTTTCAATACTTTACTCTTAATGTGTTTGCATTCTGAAAAAAAGTTCTTTACCAAGACTTTTTCTGTATTGTGCTTAGACGTGCTGGGAGTTGTGATCAGCGCGCTTGAGAGGAAAACAGTTATCAAGAACTCAAGGCAATCAAATGTTCAGAAATTTGTCCTGCTTAACGAAGAGTAAAAGCTTTAAGCTTCAGTTTAGGCAAAAGTGCACGCTGCCTTTTCTTTTTTTCCTCTGCAGTTGCTTTTTCCAGTCTGATGGACTGTTATCTCTTACCACGAACACAGATCACAGCCGGTGCTATTGTCTCTGTGGGATACTTTCCTGGGTAATGAGGGACAGGAAATTGTATCTAAACTTCACAGCTATCCTGTGATCATTGCTCGCAGAATCAGAGTGAATAACTATAATGGTTTGCTCCCATTTTTTTCCCCAAGATTTTTACCGTTTGCATTTTGTATTTGTCTGCAGTACCCGTAAACAACTGTTCCATTTCTTTTCGTCATGTAGGGGTCGCACTTGGTACTTGGTTTGATTCAGCAATTCTTGTTGATCCACCTATACAAGAAGCAAGGGAACTCAAAAACTGGTACACTCTATTTCCGGTCATCGTCCTCTGCACAATTTAGATCTAAATGCTGTCCTGACTTTGAGTCCTGACATTCTTTATTTTCCTTTCACCCAGGGCATTGAGGAACACTAAGTTGATTAAGGAGATTGTCGAAAAAAAGGACTATATTAAATATAATCCACAGCTATCCTTAAAATCAGACCAGAAAACCACCTGGATTTGCAACATAACTTCATCACAAAAGGTTTAGGAGTAAAACATGCTGCGCTGCTTTCATACTTTTGTCGTGCATGATAACTATTTTATACTCACAGTTGCTCATCTTTTAGACTATATGGGTGAAGGCACAGTTCTCTTTTGAACACATCTTCCAAAAGTATTGGTACATGAGCTGTAAAAATTGTTGCCGAGCTACTGCAGCAGACTACCAAATTGGGTTTACCTGTAACTCATGCAAAGAGAGACACCCTGCAGTGCCTAGGTGCTAAGTATTCTGCTTGTAATATATCGTTTCTGTTAATTGTTTTGTAATGCTTGTTCATATTAAAAAAACCACTTGCTGCATATTGTGTACCTGTTTTCAGATGCCGCTTTGATGTTGATTTAACCGATGACACCGGTGTGATACCAGCTTCAATTTTTGGCGAATTAGCAGAGCGCCTGCTCACGTTTAGTGCACTGGAAGCAATGCAGCACTTTAATGAGGTTTTTACTCCTAAATCTTGCTAATAAAAGTATTCTATGCTTTTTACTCTTACTTTTCGTTCTCTCGACAGAATGTTGAACTTCCCCTCGAATTTGTCCACAAAGAGCTTAAATCAAAGATGTTTCTGCTTCACATCAAACCTATGCAAACACAGCTCGCAGATGCAAGGCAGCGGTACACAATTATATACTACTCTGAAATTAATGGTGATGCCAATTCTGCCCAGTTAACAAGCGAGACGAAAGATGACTCTCCATTTCCTAGCAAAGAATCCGGCACTATACAGCTCGCAACTCCAGGTAACTCACAAACATCTGGTTTTTAGTTTTGCATTTCTATTTTACTCCAAATAAATAATATGACAAATCAAAAAAAATATGATCGCAGAGGAGAATAGTGTTCGTTCAAAGGTTTGTGTTCGCCTTTCTGAAAGGTTTGATGGAACACAAAGCACTGAAGCAAATGAGGATGAAAATGCAGAGTGCAGCTCTACCAAGAAGCAAAAAACCAACTGACTTGTTACTGTTGGGTCTTTTGTCCACCTAATTCTTAGGTTCTATGCCTACCATACTATCATATATTTTTGCAAAGTTCCCTATGCATTCCTGGAAGGATTATTGATGTATTAATGAAACATGTACTTTTGTTCATAGATACCCCTTAGACTGTTTTTGATCTGCTGCCTTTTACGTTTGCTGATGACCTGCAATCAGCACCAGCTATGTATTTGAATTGATGATTTATGACTATTATGTGCTTGTTACAGTAGCCTTTAAATTCACCTTCTGCTCTATTCACCTCAGTAACTAACCTTCTACTGAATCTGCTAGCTGTTATATTAATGAAACATGTACTTTTGTTCATAGATACCCCTTAGACTGTTTTTTATCTGCTACCTTTTACGTTTGCTGATGACCTGCAATCAGCACCAGCTATGTATTAATGAAACATGTACTTTTGTTCATAGATACCCCTTAGACTGTTTTTGATCTGCTGCCTTTTACGTTTGCTGATGACCTGCAATCAGCACCAGCTATGTATTTGAATTGATGGTTTATGACTATTATGTGCTTGTTACAGTAGCCTTTAAATTCACCTTCTGCTCTATTCACCTCATTAACTAACCTTCTACTGAATCTGCTAGCTGTTATACACCAAATTTTGCACAACACCTTTATCAAAACCTGTTCAAGCTTTCCCCTGCACATAGCTCTCTTACTAAATATCATACCTACTATTATGAGTTCCTCTTACTCTGAAGCTAAAGCTCACACTTCGTGTATCCATTAGCTTTAAATTGTGTAGCTGTGCAGGCTTAAATTCATTTCCAGAGGCACAACTTTTTCCCTCGGCCAGAACTGTGTATACCCTTGCTTCATTTGAAACACAGTGAATAAAATAGATGCACAGTGGTAACAATCACTGGACTTTCTCTGCATTAACTTCTTTTATTATTAACCAGTTCTGCATCTTTGATGTGCCAAATCATTAATGCCCTTAACTGTCAACAAATAAACGCCAGCTTACCTATACAGAAATTCACTTTTTTAAAAAACTATTAGCCATCGATTGTTTATATATAACTACTTCAATAAATCATACATCCCAGCAGAGCACTACAAGTTAAGTTTCGTACTTGCTTCTCTCAAATCATCTATAGCATTCAGTTATTTTCTTTGCCCTCATATAATTACATCTTTCACATTTTTCTTTAATTATCTTGTCGAATTAGATCAATGGCGGAAGGTTCGTCTACCTATGAATTGACAACTACCAGCTCGATCCCCTGTTGTTTTCTACTGAAATGCAATCACAGAGGAGAGGTTTAATTTTCTTCTATATGATGGAAAATATTTGTTAGCCATGTGCTGTCCAGTTATATAACTTCATTTGACATTTCTATTTTCCACTCCTCAAAACGCAGATTCTGCCTGCTGAATTCAGGCTATTGCTTACTCAGCACCAACGCAACGCAATTATTCTCAGGCATGGAATTTATAAATGGCCTATTGTGGTTGGTGAACGTTCATTTGAACAAGGCTGGGATGAATATTGCCGTGACAACATTACTAACAGACATGATATATTGCTTCTCCGTCATGCCGGCAATCTCATATTTGATGTCGTCCATTTTTCCGAGCTGCAAAAACAGGTTTACCTGTCTTGGACAGTGCCATTACCAAATTTATTCCAGGCCCATACTAATCATGCACAAGGTCAGTTTACCCTTAACTTTCTATCTGCTGCTTCTAACAAAATTATCTCTGATTTATTATCTGCTAAATAACTCCAGCTTGTGCAGATTCTATGATAATTTCGCAGTCAGTTGCTTCATCAGCCAAGCCAGATTTAGCCCAAACTCTCACTGATTCGGTTTCCTTCTACCAAACTTTTAATACAGCAACACCAAACACATTGGTAACCTATCCTTGCACTGTTTCTTTTTCCTATATATTCTATTCTCGCATCTCACTTTCGTTCTTTTCTATTAGAAAATCCCAAGATTCATCGATCACTTTGTTAATGGACACAAAACTCCAACCCTTCTTATTAGAACTGGAGAGAAACTTACACAGGTTGGTGTGAAAGGGAAAAAACTAAAAACAAATTGGAGAAGCTTCGTTCTTCAGCATCAGTTGCAGCACAATGACATCCTTGTCTTCATTCCAGAATCATCAACTACCTTCACAGTTTTAGTATTTGATGATAATGGAGTCGAGAAAGTCTTTCCATGGTCTTGCACCTTCAAAGTTTATTCTAATTGTCCTCATTGTACGTAACTTCTGCAACATGCCTTTCTCTATAAACTAAGTTCGCTTTTCTCTTCAAACTCTTCATCGTACATTGTTCCAGTTTTTAATACCATTGAAGAAAAGACTACATTCAGGCTCAATATGGCTATATTTCACTCAAATCAAGCATGCAGCAAGTACATTACAAATACCTAGCATCTATTATTGCTGCTCCTTTTTCCCACATAATCAATAATTAATCAGTAACTAATTTCATATAAATGGCCTGTTATGCCATGAAAATCAAATACACTAGCCATTCCACCTTTCTATTTATCAAATGGTTATTTGATTCTCCGATCAATAAACTTCGGTTAAGAAACATTTCCGTTGACTGTGGAAATAGATTGTTGTATACAAAATCCTTGCTTCGTACCATACATCGCACTTCCATTCTCTTATCCAGAGTTGTCGCGTTAGTTTGTCCAATTTTCATGTTACATACAAAAAAATAAATAAACAATATACAAAGGCTTGAACAACATCAAAATTAATGCTTGTTGTAGCTTTGTAACCAACACAGACAAATCAATCCTCCACAGAATAATAGAAAATTTAGAAGTGTTTACTCATTGTTTAATATTTAAAACCTCCCATTTACTTCTCCGCACAGTTCGTCCCATGTCTTCACGAAGTAAAATCATACTCGTGAGCTTCAATTTTATTCGACTCAATTGTTTTCTTTTCGTCCTTTTTCTCAACACCATCTTAAATTCAAACATTAATTTACTCGCGTTTTCTTACAACATTGTTTTTTAAAAAACTTAATCATTTTATACCCAAATAGCTTAAATGCAATACGTCCGATTTATGATATCTTCACTCAAAAATCAGGGCATTTTCTGGGCAACATTTAATTAACACCGCGCATCGCGCGGTGATCCCCTCCTAGTCATCTTAAATATTTGTCATTGGCGGAGCATATTGGAAAGTTAAACAAGTTTTTGGCCAAAATGGAAAACAATAATGTAGAAACAAATAAATAAAGAAGCTCAGCATTTTGCTCAGAACCAAGCAATTGAAGCTACGTCACATAGTAAAAAAAATAATAAAATAAAAAAAGTCTATGTCACATCATGTTTCAATGGGCTCATCCTCTGAACCACTCCAAATTACAATTCCTCAACGGGGCAGGTCGGGTACCGCTTTAAATTAACTTGTTTTTTTGTTTTTTTTTTTAATTTAAGTTGGATAATGAATGCCCAACATAAATATCCATACCGTCCAAAATATTTTTGAATTTTTATTACCCAACCCAAAATTAACCCAAAACCCAACTTACCCAATCCAACCTCTCAAATTAGTGGATGAGTTCGGTGGATTGTTGGATTTTAGGTATAATTGACAGCTCTACTGGTAATGCTGGGTAGTTCTGTTTTCTCTAGGGTAATTCTATTTGAGCATTTGGGGCCCAAAAAAAAATGGTGCTGTTTCAGAACTACCGCCCCTCTGCTTTAGCAAGTTACGAAGGTTACCACGTCGTTCATGACACAGTTGATGTTCAGGCTTAATGTAGATGTCAAGGTCTATTCCACTTTTTATATACTCACTTTGCAGTTTAGGCTTGTTTTAATTGCTAATCTTCCACTATACATGAGAAATTAAAATGTAAACCATGTTTTTGGGATGTCAGTACGTGCATATCATAACACACAAGCTAAATCAACAGTCAGTCGTGTGTGTCTACATACATACATACATAC